TTTTTGAATTGTATCTTCAATAACATTATTTAAGATGTGAATTAGTGCTTTCATTAGGCAGTCCTATGAAGTTTGCTCCTTTTAAGATCTGCTTTTCGACAAACACTTTGCTTAATCTTTTTTGTACAATTCTGACTACTAGTTTTCTGAATATCTCAAATAGCATTATTGGCCTAGTACTCACTAAATTAAATTCCCAATCTGTACTCTTAGGAATTAAATATATTTGCCCTAACTTCCATTTTTTAGGAAATTTACCCTTGTAAACTATTTTGTTTGCAAAGTTTACTAAATGTTCTTTTGTTTTAGGGTTTACTTTTTTGATGAGTCTATAGCTGATTCTTGAGATATCCAGTGCTGTATCTTCTTTTAGCATACTTATAACTTCTGACCATTCTTTTTCTGTTATTTTGTTCATAATTTCTGCATACTAAGCTTCATTAATTTTTCTTTGCTCTTTATATATATTTGCCTATTCATGATTTAATTGCTCGAATTGATGATTTTACTTTCTGAATTGTTCTTTGAAGTATCTTTCTACTTCTCTCTTAATATCTTCACTTTCTGTAATTAACCTTTTACTTTCAAACTTATTCTTACTTTGTACTATGACCCTGTCAACTATGATCTTATTGTAAAGACATTCGAGCAACTTGTTTAATATTTGCTTTTGACTTTTAGGCATTAGTGCAAATCTTTTTTTGATTTTATCCTTTATTTCTCTTTTTTTTGCAACTTGCAATTCTTTCTGTGCTTTTTCTTTTAATATATTCTACTACTCTTTGATTTCAATACAAAATTCTCTGCTCCAAACTTCTGGTATAAGTAGTATATTGATCTTATATTCTGTGTTAAGGTGCTCTATTCGTGCATTAAAAATTGCTTTCTCTAGCTTGTCTATATTTTGTTCTGCATCTTTAGACCCTTTTCTAAATATTCTTCCCAGAACCTTAGCTCTGCTATATATCAAAGATTTTGTTGCTTCTTTTCTTATTTGACTTTTAGAATCTTGTATTTTTATTGAAAGAATGTGCTTGCTCGCTGCTACTTGTATTGCTTTAGCTATTAGCTTCTATTCTTTATCAATATCTGTTGTAGACTCTGTTTCAGTTTAGTTTTTTTTTTTTCCTTTCTTTTTTTCGCATTTTTAATGATCTTTTCTACTTCTTGGCTATAGTTATACCAATTTTCTTCTGTTGTTTTATGATATTGTTATATTCTTCTTGTCTCTTTTTGTCCTTTCTTGCTTCTCTGCTTGTTTTTCTCTAAAATACCTGTACTGTCTAGTTTTACTCAGATTATTCCATGATCGTTATCTGTTACTGTCTCCATTGATTCTATATTGCTATCTAAAATAAGGCTTCCTATCTTTTGTATTGTCCAAATATAATCTATTCTAGTTGATATATTTCTGTTTGACCATAAATATTTAATTAGTTTTGGGTTAGAGAATCGAAAGGTTTCTATATAGTCAGTATTCTTTAGCTAGTTTGTAATTCTTGTACTAGTATCTGCATTTCTTCTTTTTTTACTATTCATATCTAGTCTTTCATTTAGAACTATATTAAAGTCTTCTAGGATCATATATACTGTATTTTTCCTATTCTTGATGATTTCTTCTATTAGTATCTTGTATACTCTTCTCGTTACTTCTTCATTCTTAGGAGGTAAGTATACTATTCAAACTTAAAATACTACTCTTCTAAAGAAAAATTCAGCTTTAAGCAAATACAGGTTAAACCTTTTACAAACTTCTATATTTCTTAACCAATTCTGATCAACTAGTAGCCCAATTCCTGATCTTTTTTGTTTTCTTTTTTCTGCTTCTGTTCAAAAGCTTAATAATCCATATTCTTCTGTATTTATCCACTTGCCTTCTTGTTCTTCTATATTAGTTTTTACTATTCCAATAATATTATATCCTTCTAACTTACCATATTCTGCTAGTATTTCTACTTTTGTATTATCTTCTTTAATTCCATTAATATTGTACATATCTATCTTTATCAACTCTTGCATTTTACTCCTGTTACTACTACTATCTTCTACCTCTTCAACCTTTCTTCTTGTATTTTCTTTGCATTCATTTTTGTTTTAGTTTGTACTTGTTTCTGCTCTATTTTGTCTCTCAAGTTTTCCTTCTTGATTGACTAGAGCCTTTGTTAATTCAACTTTAGCTACTTTCAGAAGTGATTTGGAGTCTTATAACTTCAATTACTATTAAAACTACTTAATTTTCTTTTTAAAGCTTGAATGCGCTGTGCCATATCATTAAACGATCCTTTGTAATTATTTTCTTTGTGATATTCTTTTTTTTTTTTTTTCTGCATAGGTTTCGTTTTGATTTTCTAGCTTCACATGTTTTTCATTTTCTGATTTGTTCTCTTCTCTCAAGACTTTTTTTTCATTTCTATAGAGGATAGTTGGCCTATCAAAAGATAGTTCTCATCTCTTGAGGCTATTTGTACTAGACCCATAGGTATCAAATCCTTGCTTGTGTTTTTCTTTGGTATAATATACTTTGCTTAGTTCAACTTTAGAGATCTCTCAAAAAAGTCTAGTATCATAGTATTTAACAGTATACTTTTTCCCTTAAGCTATCTCTTATTGGCTTCTAAAAGATACTAGTACATAACCTTTGTTGTTTCCATTTGAATTCTTGAAAATATGTACTTCACTTGCACTAGTATATTTTAGCTATCTGAATAGTAGCACTTCATTTATATTTTATGAAATATTGAAAAGCTTTGCTATAAACCGTTTTTGGTTTTCTAATATCTCTTTTCTGTTTAATCCTGGTATTATATGTACTAAAAGCTCATTTGTAAGAAGAACAACCCAAGCTTTGATTCCTTGTACAAAACTACTTTCCTCTTCAAATATAACTTCTGCTCTTGTTTTTCTATGATTTTCCCTTATCATCTCAATATTTTTAATATATCCTAGGTGTTTAATTACAAAGAAGACTTGTGATCTTGTTATATAGTAAGGTATATCCTATACAGTAATAGTTTTTTCTTTATATAGATATATCTCTCCTTCTTTAACTATTTCAATATTTTTGTTGAAATTTTTTTTTTCGCTTTGAAGAGTTTCATGTTCGTATATTCTTTTCTTTTTTTTGTCTTTTATTGAAGCTAATTTTTCTTCTTCATTTTGGTCAAATATTGCTTCTTTTCTTAGTTTACTGCTTGTTGAGCACTCACTCTTTTCTGTTTGATTGTATAATAAAGACCTCTTTTTTTGTATTTCTTCGAGTTCTTTCTTTGCTTAGATCTCTCTTATTTTTTTTTCTTTCTTTTTGTCTTATGAAGTTCTTCCTTTCTTTAAGCTTTTTTTTTTGACCTTTTCCTTCTTTTCCTCAAGTTTTAGATTTAACTAGTCAAATTCATCCTTCTTTTTTTCTAGCCTTAACTTAGCTTCTTCGTACTCTTTTTTGCAATCAAAATATATGATACACCATTAGTTTCCATTTTCAAACTTTTCTTGAATTGCTTTGATATGTTTGTTTTTTCTTAACGACCACTTGATTGACTTTTCTCTTTGTTTAGCATTATCTCCTAAAATCTTAACTATTGCTACTTTCACTCTAATCTCTCCTTTGTCTTTACATGCTTCTGAGTTAGGTGCCCATATACTCCTATCTAAAGATGCACTGCTATATCTTAACTTTTCTATTTCAGCTAGTTGTTCTAATTTATTTTCTATTTTGTCTTTGCATAAGTTATCTTTTACACTATTTTCTACTAGTTGAACATCTTTCATGCTCTCTAATACTTTGTTTTTTTTCCCTTTTTCAGTTATGCTATCTGATTTTTCCTTATTTTGTATATTCTGTCTTGTTAATTTGTCTAGATCTATTTCTTTAGTACTTTCTATTTCTATTATCAATGTTTCTTCAATTCTTATTTCTATCTCCTCTGTTATTTCATTTACAATTTTTGGTTGTATGTTTGCTAGAATTTGCTCTCTTTCTAATACTTCCTTAACTTTGTTTACTCTTTCTATAAAAGCAGCTCTTTCTAGTACAATATACTATTGTCTAGCTAAAGTGATAATATTCTTATCTACATTCATAGTTTTTGCTACTATTTCGTCAAAATAATCTGCTAATCCTAGTACTAATATACTACCCTCTTGGATAATTTCTCATCTATACTCTTTAGTTAGTTTTTGGATGAAGTATTTAGAGCTTTCTGTATTCTATATCTTCTTTTAATATTACCTTTTATTCTAAAACTTTATACTATACTTGATTTTAAGACTTTACGATTTTTTCTAAATTCTTTGTAGATTTTCCTTTCTGCCTGTGGATTTTCCAATTTGAGACTTGTGCGCTGCCTTTCTATTAGTTGTCATATAACATATCTTGTTAGTATTTGTTGACATATTTGTTTGTTTTTCTAATTTTCTATGTATTTGTATTACATAAGCTAATCTGCATTTCAGGGTTAGACCAAATTTCTAATTTTCTAAGAAAAAAGTTTTTCATAGCAAGTTTTGAGAGAAAAACTTCTGTATTTCTTTAAGTTGTTGAAATTTTCCTTTTTCTTCTTAATAAACTATCTATATCTTAGTGTCTTTTTTCTTCTTGCTTAGTAATTCTTATACTTGTTCTTAGTAATAATTCTGTGAAAACTTCAACTTTTCTTTAGCTTCAAAAATAGCCAAAATGATCTACAGAAAGAGTTTTTTAAATCTAAACCTTAGTTTGTGTTTATTACTCTGTTTAAATTTATAAGTTTTTTTTTTATTTATTTAGAGTCTTCTGTAGTAGATTTTTAAAAATAGTTTGAAGTTATATACTTTAAACTACTTAGCTTACCTTCTAGTTTTTTTATTAACTAAACTAAATATATCATAGATCTGCTTAAGCTTTCTGATAATCTTTTTTTTCTTAAATATTTAATATTATATTTGCATTCTTTTAGACTCTTTTGTCTGCTATAATAATCAGTATATAACTACTAATCTTGTTTTTTTTCTAAACTTCTATTTTGCTAACTTCTATTCAATTTTTCTTCTTGTTCTTCATATTTTTTAAAATCTTTATCTTCTGAATATATATAGCTTCTTCTAGTATCTCTTCTCATTTCTTTATTTTTATAATTTACAAACTGCTTTTTATCTTTCAAAAAGTTATTTTCTCTATAGCTTTCTTGCTGCTATGATATATACACTTTTTAATAAAGCCTTGTATTATAGTAGTTAATATTCTTCTTTAATACTTTTATTTTGTCTTCACTTAATTTGAAAAATACTTTTGTGATTCTACTTAAGTTTCTATTTGAATTATATAGAATATATACTGACTTTGTTTTTGTAAAGTAAAGAGCTCTAAGAAGTAAAGTTTCTTGAGCTATACTAAAGATATTTGTAAAGATAGCCTTGAATCTTTCCTTTTCTTTTAACTTTTCTTTGTTGTAGTTTCTACTGTTAAGCATATTAGCTTTCTATTCTTTAATCTAATAATCTAATTTGTGTATAATTACTTTTCTTGCTTCTTATTTTGCAAGTAGATTTTTATTTCTGCAACTTAACAGAAGTTATGTTTCTGTATTCAAATTTTATTTGCATTACTGAAGCCTTTAAAAAGTCTTTGAACCTTATACTTGCTATATTCTAGTAGAAGATTCCAGAGAGTTATCTATACTATTAATATATAAAACATAAAAAAAAATACAAATTTCTTAATAACTTTTGATCTATTAGTCTGAATTAAATGAAATATAAACTATTAGAATTAGCTTACTAAGACAGTTCTAATGAGCTAATAATCATCAAAATTCAATTACTAGATCTCAAGATAATTAAGTTATAGCTTTTTATCATAATTCATATAATCTGATTAGCTGAGTAACTACTGTAGGAGATGTATTACATGTAATATATTTATTACCTATTGTTTTTGAGATACTTTTATTATTTATTATATATATAGCATATGGGTAGCACTTATTTCACAAATACTCAACTCACAGATATACTACTTCACAAATAATCAATTCACAGACAAACTTATTTCATAGACAACTAATTCTTAGATAAGCTTATTTCATAGACAATTTATTTCATAGACAACTTATTTTACAGATATTGTTTTTATTAGATTAGAGTTAAGGTTAGAGCTAGAGTTAGAGAAGTTTATAGAAATAAACTTGTCTATGAAGTGAGCTATCTATTAAATAAGTTGTCTATAAAATGAGCTTGTCTAGAAATTAGTTGTTTATAAAATAAACTTGTTAGTAAAGTGATTGTCTGTGAAGTAAGCATGTTTGTGAGTTGAGTGTCTGTAAAATAATATGAATCTATAGCATATATACTATTTATTATATATTTTATACATATATTAGTTATATTATATATTTTATTAGTAATAGTTATAGTATATA